TGTCCTGGTTGTTCTGGAAAGCTTTGCAGCTGAGTCAGGTGGGAGATGAGACTGGGCTCTGCCTTCCAGACACCCTGGGCTAAAGTCATCACCTGCTTACAGAGGGACAGCCCTATGTCCCCATGGCCAGGGATGCCCATGGCTATGCTGCCACCTCCTCTGGGGTGCTGGTGTGCATGGAGCTACAGCCAGGGGTTACAAAGCAACTCAATGCTCAAACGCCCTGCAAACCCCACAGGAGTGAGGGGACAGGGCTGTGCACTTCCAGCTCAGTTTCTTTTTCTGCATTTTTGCCTTTTAAATTTTGTTTGCCTTTATTGTTCAGCAGATTTCCCCCTCCCTTGCACAAGCCCCGGCCAACCCCTGGCCGGCCACAAACAGGTTAAGTTTCCTGTTGCTCAAAATAGGATTTCCTGGTTTTGAAAGGCTGAATCTGCAGAAGCGCTGGGAGGGAGGATGGCTTTGCTGAAACACTTCCGCCCTCGCTCCCACAAGCCAGGTTCCTCCATGGGGCAGCCAGAGGAGTGGCGGTACCACATGTCCCCACTCACCGAGGGGGTCCCCGGCGACGATGCTGTACTCCACTTGCCCGCTGGGTCCCGAGTCACCGTCGTGGGCCAGGAAGGTCCAGACGCGTGGGCCGGGCTGCCCCTCCGTGACATCGAAGGGACCCTCGTAGGGCCGCGGGAAAGTGGGACAGTTGTCATTGATGTCATTGAGGTTCACCAGCACCTGCAGTCAGGGGGAGAGCATGGAGGGCACTGAGGGGAGAGCGATGGAAGAGACTGCTGGTCAGGAGCATGGGAAACCATGGACAGGTGACACTGCAAAATACTTCCTGTATTTCTGGCTTTGCTGGGTTCACCAAACACCCAACTCACAGTCCTCGAGAACAACTCAGATTCAGTTACTCCTCATTCCTGATTATGCCCTTCTTACAGTGACATTATGAAACTCCAGCTGCACACAGGTGGGGCCCTTTTCAACCACGATGGAGAAGTCAACACAAAAGTTCTCAATATCCACATCCCAAAACCCAGACTGGATAGAGAAAAACCACAGACACAGATCTGATCACCAAAGCCACGAGTTCAGAGAGACCCAATCTCTGCAGCCAGCTGCACACTTGCTCACTCTCTTTCCTCCACCAAGGGCTTCATTCCTAGTGCTGAGTAAACTTCAAAAGATTTCCAGCTTGCATCCATATTCCAACACAAACCACCACCAACGCAGCTGGCGTGTTTCCCCGCTTAGCATCCCTTCCTATGACACACTTAGCTGGCTATAAATCAATGCTACAGATCTCAGAAGGAGAAAGTATAAAAAATTTTAGGACAGAGTAGACCTGCTGGCGAAGCTCGGGATCCAATGAACTTGAGCTTTGCTTTTTAGCTGAGTCGCACTACATAGAAGATAATATATAGCCCTATATTATACTGCATTGCAAAGAGGGTTATCCATTTTGTTTCAGGGAACTTATACAGTGGAGAAATGCTGCCTGAGAGTGAGAGTATCCAGTGGCTAGTAAAAGGCTGAGCTTCGGTGGTTACAAGAAAGATATTGGAAATTAAGAACTTTCTGACCTCCTGAGTTAAAGGATAGTTAAATCCTTCAGATGGGCATTTGTTACTGGCTAAATCTAATATTTACAGCAGAGTATATCTGAGTCTCTGCTGTTTCCTAGCAGTGGAACAAACAAACACTGGCATGCCTTATCAGGGTGATGGATTTCTCATCACTTGGGATCTTAAACAATCACCAAACCTCCTCCTAAAAGCTATGTTTTCATATGGTGCTGGCACAAACTCCCTGGGCTGTGTAGGGAGGGTGCTTCCTATCCCTTCCAGCTTCAGTACTTGTGCTCAAGGGGTTTCCAAGTTCATGTCTTTTCTTGGGCCAAGAGCAGGGAAAGCTCTGCCTTTGCCTTCAGCACATCAGCTGCTGCTGCTCCTGTCGGCAGTTACACCCCAGGTCTCAAGGTTTCTACTGCAGTTTCCCTGGGCCAGGAAAGTATCTCCAGCAGCATCAAATGCACAAATCTGAAGGCTTCCCATCTGCCCAGACTGGAGCACAGCGCTGCCTGACTTGTGGGGACTTTATCCATGGAAATCTGCCACACTGGCATCTCCCTTTAGAAGTGAGAAAAATGTTTCTCTTTTTTTTCCTTCACACACAAGAACTTATCATCTCCTTTCGAGAACCTATCTCCTTATTTGAGCTTAGCTTAATATCTGGGTGAGGTATAACGGTCCGTAATAGAGAGCCAGATAGAAAATCTAACCTATCCCTTCCACCTGAAGACTCCCAAATCAATCTAGGCATGGACAACATTTGCCATACAACCCGTCACATTTTGGTTTTGGTCACAAAAACACAAAAAAAACCAACCCAACCAACCACGAAATCGGTTTATTGAATTCCTGCAAAACATGTGTTTTGCACCTGTTAGTCTGAGCTCCCCACACTTTGAGCACCATGGTCCAGAAAAAATGGAAGAGTTATAGTGAAAATCAACAAAAAAAAAAAAGGGCTAGAGGAACGAAAAAGGATTTTTAAAAGCAGATAAATAATCTGAGAAGCTAAAGACGAAACAGAACTTAATACAATGGCAATGCTGTACTATCTACTGTCCATTCGAGCAAGAAGGTCCGAGAAAACACAACGCAGCTTAAAAGCAGTTTGGGGAATTTCTCCTATTTGTGTGTTTGCAGGATGAAATAATTGGGCTAATTTACTCAGGAGCGTCCCTTGCCTGCATGCCTGCAACTCACCATGAGGGAGTGACAGCAGCTGGGCAAACTGGCTGCAGCTGGGAAAAACAACTGGTGACCACTGGGAAGGAAATGTGAAACTGCTCACATGAAGAGCTCCTCAACCCTGCCAAGGCTGTGGTGTTGCTATCCTGCTGGCAGGTCCTTACCGTGGCGGTCGATGTCAGCCGTCGTGAGATGATGGGGCACTGGTCAGTGGCAGTGACAATCAAGGTGTAGCGCCCATGGCTGATCTCATAGTCCAGCTCCTTCACTGTGCGAATCTGCCCCTGTAAGGCAAGGGGACAGCGGCCAGGAGTGAAGGGAGTGGGACAGGGATATGTCCAGGATGGGGCTGGCTACCTTACTGACCGTGGCACTGTCGATCTGGAAAGTGTCCAAGATGTTGCCTTCAGTGATGGCGTATGTAACTGTGCCATTGGGTCCTTCGTCCTGGTCCAGGGCCTGCACAGTGATGAGCGTGGCATTGAGCGTGGAGGGGCCTTCATCAAGGGTCACCTCATAGAGCTGCTGCTGGAAAGTGGGTGCGTTGTCATTCTCATCCAGGACGGTGACGTACACTGTTGTGGTAGCCTGTGGAATATGGGAACATCACATTAAGCACTGCAATACTTGGAGCTGGCTGGGAAGGCGGGATCTGTCAAGGTCAATGACCAACATGGGTTCAACCCTGCTAAGAGACACGAACAGGATGCAGGGCTCAAAATGAAATGTGCCATTGGTACAGGTACATTTGGTACAGGGATAAACATACAGAGATTAAATCACACCCTTGTTCCCAAGCAAAGCATGTCTCTGTAGAATCTCTCTCCTTTTCACCCAGTTTTTACTGTTGCTGGTAACAACTGGGAGTAGCCCACGGCAGACGGAAAGCCAGAGGCTGAACCCTATCATGCCTCACTGCCTTTGGAGGAGGCATGATGAGTCCTCATTTTGACATTAGGGACACCTTGGTTGTTGTTACTGATTATGGCAACATGGTAGGAAGGAAAATACCCAGAAATGTTGCTGCCATGGCTACGGGGAGGAGCAAAAATGAACATTTTGGACAACCAGACTGACCTCTTGCAGGCCCTGTCATCTACCTGCTGACCACAGTTTCACTGCTGGTCAGCCTCAGCCTGTCCTGACCCTGTTCCAGCTGTATCTGGCCCTGCATAGGCAGTGAAGTCTGTCTTCTGGATGTGTCACTATGGTGGCACACCTGGGGACAGAGAGGTGACAAAAGCATGCCACCCTGCCTAAGGGCTCAGGTTAGATATGGGATCTCAGGATGACATACAATTTGGAGTGTCTGGACTTTGTGCCTACATGTTCTCCAGCAACACATTTCTTCCAGCTAGACAAGGGTTACGTTTTTGGCGAAAGCATCACAAATGTGTTTGCTGTAAAAACCACAAAGCCACGCGTAATTAGCTACTTTTCTATTTCATGGCATGCTCCAAATTCAGAGGAGGTTAGAAGCAAATCTTCCTGTGGCTTGCAAACCTCCATGTGTCTCCAGGCTCCACTTTCCAGGGAACACTGTTTTGAAAAGAACTGGCCCTTAGCTGCAGATGGAGATTTTTTGGTGCCTTCTGAATTCGAAGCTCAGCTCTGTGTATCAGCCCACAGTGCTCCTTTGTTAATCAGTGCTGCTTTGCAATTTGAGGGCAGAGTAAAAGCCTCCCCCTGTGTAAACAGGCTGCAGGAGGGGGATGCTTTGCTCCCCTTTTTATGCAAAACTCTGTTCTCTTCCCCCTAACCTCTCTGAGTTACCCTTCCCTGTACCTGCCTTCCCGTCATCCCAGGAGGGTTTCTGCCCACTTAATCCTCACAAACACAGAAAAACTCTAGTTACAAGCAAAGTGCACTTTAATGAAGTGAGCTGGAGATTGCCCCCAGGGGACCGGCTCCCACCGGGAAATGGATGGGGACCAGCACCCAGCCCCTCCTGGCTGAGCACCTACATGTGTCCGACACGGTGAGCATCCTCCTCAGCTACCTCCTGTGCACCCCGAAAACGCATGCAGGAGACGAGCTTGCTCTAAGCTACCCCCTCCGACTCTGCAATTAAAACCCCGGCAGACTCACCCGCTGCAGCCCAAGCGGCTGGGACTGAAGTGTTCCCCCCCCCCCCCCCGCTGGGCCCTGCAGCATCTCACCTCCTGGGGGTGCTCGCAGCTCTCCGCAGGGCTGCGCGCAGAGTCTCAATGAAATTTCCTGTGTGCGCCAGCCCTGCCGGCGCTGCTGGGCTGCTCAGGGCGGGCGACCGGGCGGCTCCGCGGAGCCGAGCGATCCCCGGCCCCAGCCGCGATGGAGTCGGCAGCCCCCAGGCTCGGGCTGCTGCTCGCCGCCCTCTGCCTGCTCGCTTCCCACGGTAAGCTCCAGTTTGCTGCTTTCCTCGCCTCCCCGCCCAGCGAAACTTTCCTTGCTGCGCTCGCCTGGACAGGGCTGTGCCTCGGCACAAGGAGTTTCGGGCGTTTGGGGGGTTATTTGCTTTCGCACCCTGTAACTGTGGGCTGGAAAGTGGGGGGGGGGAGGTCAAGCCAGCCTTTCACACGATAAGTTGTGTCGGGGGTTAGGGGCCACAGGGGAGCTGCTGCTTTAAAACTCTGGGACTGTTTTTCCCCCCTGCTTTCCTTTGCTTTGATCTAACATGTGTGGAAGGAAAGCAGCCATTCCCCTGTCCCCGCCAGCCACCCGCTGGGGACTCCGAGCTGGCAGTGCCGCCCCCCTCCTGAGGGAGCTTTGCCCCGGCACGGCGGTGCTCCCCGGGCGCGCCGCTGTGAAAGGGATGCTCCACGCCTGACTCTGCACCAGCCCTGGCGGGCAGCGTTTCCGTAGCGGGGCTCCGGGGCTGGACAGTGGAACAGGGGCGGTGGCAGTTAAAACTGCAGTTCATCTGTGGACGAAGGAGCAGAGAATGAAGCTGGGAAGCACTGTGGTCTCACCCTGCCCTGCGCAAGCAGGGGATGAGCATCCTCTTGGGCTTGGCTTCTCCTTCTGCCCTGGGATGACAAAGTGATCACCTCCAGGATTTCTGTCAGCACATCCTCAGGAAGAAATGATACCCCCACTGCCCCTTCTCCTCTGGGACAGCAAGGCTAGTGTGGACTTGCTTTGCATCTCATTTGAGCATCTCTCAACATCCAGGAGCGATTTTCAGCATCAGTGTGGGGCTTTGGATTATTTCATTTATCCATGTAGGGTGCTGCGACTGAACATCAAGCCTTCTGCAAAGCACCCACCTCAGACTCTGATGTTCAACATGAGCTTGGTGGCAGAGTTACTGAGCTTTGTGCAACCCTGTGCCTACCAAAATTTTCTGAACCCCCAGCTAATTTTAGCAGGGCTTGATGGAGAAGTAAGAGTCCTTGGAGGCATCCACCTCCTATGTGGTTTGGGGACGCTGGCAGGTAGGTGGACAGAGAAGTAGCACCTCTCCACCCAAAGGATGGCAGCTGAGCCTGGCTTTCCAAAACCACATTTCAGCATTGCGATCCCATCCCCGAGCCAAGCCGTGCTGGAAGAGGAGCAAGGTAGGACCCTCCAGTGAGTGCAAGTAGCTCCAGACTGCTCTCCCCGTAACCTGGATGATGCACCCAGGGTGCAGCTCTGCAGGAAAAAAGCCATTTGGCTCCTTCAGGTACAGGAGATGAGAGCCGTTCATACAGGTGTCTCAAGCATCTTCAGTAAGTCTTTTCTCCTTTTTCTTTCCTGCTCTAAGTACTTGTGCTGAGGTATGGATGCCCCTGCAGATCTCACCTGGCTGATAACTCCGAAACATAATGACACCTTGTGGCATTTTCATGTGAGGCTGTTAGGAAAGCTCCCACAGGGGGAATTAAAGCTGGGTTACTCACTTTGATGCTGACCAGTCACTCTCAATCTGACAGCCCCTTCCACTGCTGTGGTTGAGCTCCCCCAGAGGCTGCAGCCCTCCAACCCAGATTTCCCTGGAGTGGAAAGAGGTGGCATAATGTGGAAATCACTTCTGTAAGTCACAGGAGTGTAAATCAACCACCTGCTTCTCAGAGCAGGGGACCAAAGTCAGGAGAAGAGGCCAGGAGAGGGTTTTGGTCACCAAACCCGGAATTTGGCATAAAATCCTGTTTTATTTAAGCTGTTGGCTGGCAGAGCAACACAGGTTCTTTGGCATTAGCACTTTTTTTGCACTTCATTTTCTCTGGAAGGAGAGTTTACAGGTTTCAAGCTAGGCAGTGATGCTGGCACTGGGCATGTACCAGAGCTGCACCAGGCTCCATGCTGCACCGATGCAATGCTGCAGCTAAGAGCCAAAGACACTGAGGTGCCAAGGAGGAAGGGGGGCACTTTTGGCACCCACTTGAGCCCTCCTCTGTCTTTACCAGATGGTGGCAAGACAACAGCTCTCTGCTTGGACTTTGATGGGTCCAGGCTCTCTCAGCTGGAGATGTGCAGTGACGGGCATCTGACTTTATTTTGGCATTTGCCAGCAGCACTGACTTCAAAGGGAATGGTGCAACTAGGATGGGATGGAGCCAGACCTGGGGTCTGGGCATGGAAGAAATCCACAGCACCCCAAGGGAGATTAAGATCCATGAATTTTAGTGCAAAGATGCTGATGGAAGGTATTTCCTCTGGGTACCATCTGGCATCTAGCACAGCTTTAAAGCCTCTTTACATCTTGGGGATGGAGCAACCCCCCTGGCACTGCTATGGGGCAAACTGTTCCTTGCCAGCTCTCCTCTCCCAGCTGCTTTCTCCTCCGCTTGACGTCTTTTGGAAGCCTTCCCCTGCCTGGGAGAAGGAAGGGAAGTCGGTAATGCTGAAAGCTTCGCACACGTGGTTAACCTCTGCCCCTCCCCGTGGCAGGGCTCCGCTGCCAAAAGCGTGGGCTGTGGTGACTTTCTATCCGGACTGTTCCTATCAAGCCCCAGAGGTGGAGGCTGGATGGTTCAGTGAGGCATAGGTTTGCAGGCTGTGTGGGGATGCATGGGATGGCCCCGCTTTATTTGAGGGGGTGTGTGGAAAACAGGACTCCTGCAGATACTTCTGCAAGGTGTTGGAAGTGTGGCTTCCTCCAATAGAGCCCTGGCTTCCCTTCCTCTGGCTCCCTGGGGAACCCCGAAGTGAATGGGGCACTTCCCGTTGTGGCAGGTATTGAGAAACACATCTGAGGTGCCTTTTGTGCTCAGTGCACTGGCAAGGAGGTGGGGGACCCCCTCTGCTGTGTGCCAAAACACAGGCAGCCTAGTCAAGCATCCTGGCCCCAGAAGCATCCGAGGATGAGGAGCAGCTGGGGCTGGAAAACAGGCACAAACTAGGCAGTGTTGAGCTCAGGCCACACAAACCTCTGCCCCAGCACAGCCCTGGGGATATCCTGCTGCATGCACCACGGGGAGCAGGCTGAGGTGCCTGCAGGAAGCCAGTGTGATTAGCTGGAGCAATTTGGCAAATGTCACACTGTCCTCAGCTCCGGAGGCCTCCTCGGCACCCTATGCTGCAGACCAGGGGGGTCTGATGGGGCAGATGCCATCCTCACAGCACCCTCTCTCTGCAAAGCACCCTCATGTAGGCTGCTGGGACTCTGAGCCTTCACAGCTGTCCTTATACTGTCACCCTAACACCCATAAATATCCACGAGAGGTGGAAGTCATGGGGGACGTTTTCAGTTTCATTCTCTCAAGCAGAGCCCTGTGCTGGGCGGTGACACGGTGACCCTGCCCTGAGGAGGATGCTCTCCTGGCAGCCCGGTGATGGGGAGCCTCTCACCCAGCTGGATGGCTTGGAAGGCGGGCACAGCACACCCTGCCTATGATTGATGCCCGCTCAGTATAGCAAGTGAAAAACCTCAAAGCGAAACAGTGGCGGAGCTAATGGCACGACAGGATGTTACCAAAATAAAGAACATTTGCTTCATACCATCTTCTCTGTTGCAAACCAGCTCCAGGAACAGTGTTTTCCCAATACTTTAAAGAAAATGAACCCAGAATCTGCTTTTACTTCAGCTTTCGAAAGTGATGTTTGCATTTCTGCAAACACAAAGCAGTGGTGGGGCCAGAGCACCAAAGACATGCCTGTCTTTGCTTTTTTCTCTCGCCTGATGAGCAGCTTCCCTTACCCACCAGTACCCTCCACCAGCATGCTGGGATGGGACCAGTAAGCCCCTGGCTGCTGTGTCTCTGCCAGGCCTCCTGCCTGTGTTTCATAGCCAGCAGCGGTCAGGGATTTCTTTCTGCAAGTTGTTTTCATTTTCAAGCAGCTCCTCACAGTCAGCATTGGCCACTTCCCCCTTCTCCTCCCGAGGGCTGAAAAACAAGCAGGGTGGGACCTGCTCCCTGCCTGATCTCGGGGCGGGGGATGAGCTCCTCTGCGCTGTTTTCTTTTGTATTTTCTCCCCCTCTTTTATTTTTCCTTAGCAGCTGGCTCAGCAGCATTTGTATTTCCTCATTCACGAGCTGTGCCCTGTTGCCTAGCTCCTCATCCTCTGCATGATTTGCAGAGGTTCTGGTGCCCCTTACCTGCTTCCCTGCCCCACACCTCTGCCAGCTCTGCTGGCCCTGGGTGAACTTCTGCTGCTATTATAAGGCTGATGCTCAGGTACATTTAAAGTATGCCTCTCTCTCAGGGTGTATTTCTAGGGTGAAGTTTTGCTCCCAGCCCTGCTGGGATGTTGCTACAGAGCAAGCAAAGGGCTCACACTGTGCTTCCCACCTCCCTTGTCTTGGGATATGGGGAGCTCATGAGTTTTTTTGCCCTAAGGGCATAGGTGAATTTTTTTTCCCTCTGCCTGCAGGCTAGTGTTGATGCTGATTGCTCTCTGCAGCCCCTAGCCATCCCTCTGCCAACATAGGTGATGGGTTTGCAGTGCGTGTCTGGGGAAGGATCCCCATTGTGCTACGAACTGAGAGTAAACCCAGGACTGTAGGGTCTGACGCATCTGCTGTGCCTTCTTCCTGGCAGGAGGACCAGCAGCTTTTCTCATTACCACCCCATATTCACTGTGCATCTGCCCTGAGGGCCAGAATGTCACCCTGACCTGCCGGATCAGTGGTCCCCTTGCTGACCGCCATGACCTGCTCTACAAAACCTGGTACTTCAGCAGCAACGGTGACCAGAGCTGCTCTGAGAAGAAGCACATCCGCAACGTCACTGAGAAGGAGCTACACCATGACCTGGGCAGGCACCATGAGCTGCCAGGCAATGGCACCCAAAAATCCCCTGCTGGGGGGCAAGCCAGCCATCATGGGGTGGAGTTTGTCCCAGACCACCATGGTGCCTTTCACATTGTGGTGATGAACCTGACGCTGCAGGACAGTGGGAATTACTGCTGCTACGCTGTGGAGGCCAGGCGGGAGCACGGCAAACCCCACACCCTGCAGGTTGCTCACGGCTTTGTGGAGCTGCAGATCCATCAAGGTGAGGAGGGCAAGGGGAGCCCCTGACAGCCATGCATCCATGCTGGGGTGTGTCAGGGTGAGGAGGCAGATAAGGGCTGTGGGGGATGCTAGGGTGCAGCATCAGGGCTGGGGAGGCAGGGCGAGCTGATGCTGAAAGCCAAAGCCATGTTGCAAGAGTCAAGGAGCAGCAGATGTTGAAGGTTTGAATTAGGGCCAGAGAGCGTTGGAACATTCAAAGGAAAAAAAAAAAAGAAAAAATAAATCAAGAGGCTGGAACGCAATAAAATCCATGCTACATAGTTTCACTGATCTTCTTCAACCTCTTTCTGGAAGAGAGGAAAACAAACCTCAACATAAAAGGAGCTGGCTGGTCAGCCAAGCCTGAGTGAGGGCTGCAAGCGTTGCTTGGGATGCAGGGCTTGTGGGTAACCTCAGGGCAGCAGCCCAGTGAGGAGAGCTGCCCAGGAGGTGCGAGATAGAGGGGACAGCATCACCTGCTCTTGATTTGCAGTGTTAGGAGAGAGAGTTTTTCTTCTAGATAAAAAAAAAAACAAAACCCAGAGCCTGCATGGCCAGGGCCAGGCCCTGCTGCCATCAGGAAAAAGGGGTCTTGCAGCAGGAATCTTGGTGTAAGCTTCCCAGGATTAAACTCTTGCTTTTGGGATGCTCTGGGCTGATTTTCTCACAGATGAGCAAAGGCAAGCACAGCTATCAGGAGCAATGTGGGACCTGAGCAAATCACTTGAGATTTAACATGCTTTTCTGCTCCACAGGCAGAGGAGGGCTTCAAAACTGCACGTTTCATACTGCCACCAGCAAAGGTAAAGGGAAAAAAACACCTCTCCAATGCTCTGCTCACCCATGTCTTTCCCTAGGGATGCCTGCTTGCTGTAAACACACCAGTGTCCAGATGCAACCTCACAGTCGGGTGTGGGAGAGTGATTTCTGAGGCTGTCCCCATGGCTGCATCTGACAGGCACATCCTGAGGCTGAGGAGAGCCTCTTCTGGCCCATCACCTGGACATGACTGCCCTGAAGCCTGTGGGGATCATTCACCCTAGTTGATCACCTGATAAATCACCTGAGCCCTGCAAAACATGGTTGGGGATTTAGTGGCTGCTGCCATGAGCAGATGGGGAGGGACAGAAAGGTAAAGAGTTGCAGGAACCTCTTGCAACTCCCTGCCACCATCACAAGCCCATGCCCCCTCACCCTAGGCAGAGATGCTCCAGCAGGGGAAATCCAAATCTTGTTTGAGTGCACAGACAATGTCAAAATGCTGAAGATGCCTAGGCAGGTGATGCCTCAGAGGGTTGCTCTGTCTGCCCCTGTTTGCTGGGGTAATGAATGGGCAGATATTGCTAAAATTGGTTTGCAGCATGGTTAAGGCCAGCCCAGCCATGGGAAACTGCCCCCTGCTCCCCATGGGTAGCAGTTTCTGCCTCAACCCCTCAGCACTGGGACACCCTGACCTGTCAGGCAAAAAAGAAAAGGGGAAACATCTACCCCCACTCCAGACCACACACATGGAGCAAGAAGTTGCTTCCCCACATGGATGTGCAAGAGAAAGGCTTGAGCTGAATTTACTCTTGATTTAGGCAGCCCTTGACTCTGCCATCCCACTTGGACCTTGATGGCCACAGACATGCCTGCAAGGCTGCCAGCCTTTCTGGGGAGCCTCTATGGGTAGTACTGCTTGGGTAGCAAGCCCTTTGATGCCTGAGTACTTTGAGGCAGCCTGATTTTGACAAGCTGGCCATAGGTTGAAATCAGCACTCTTTGAAATTGCTGGGAGCCTTTCTGCTGACTTCAAAGGGCTTTATCAGGGCTCCTGCTTCTCTCCTCATATCTAGAAGCACAAAGAGAGACCTTGGGATGTCCTCCAGCAATGGAGGATTTTGGTAAAGGTCCAAAACTGATGCCTCAGGGCTTATCTCCGGAACCAGCAATGCACCCGAACATGAATCCCGGCTAGGAATGGACCACCCATGTGTGTTAAAGCCTCATAGTACCAGGCATGGGGCAATGCCAGTCCTGCCCCATGCTTCTGGTATGGCTTGAGGAAACCACGGCAGTGTAAGGTGAATTCTCTCTATCACGCACTCCAGCTCTGCCCTCTTGTGTTGCAGATATCACAGCCGCTGCACTGGCAACAGGCGCCTGCATCGTGGGCATCCTCTGCCTGCCCCTCATCTTGCTCCTGATTTACAAGCAGAGACAAGCTGTCAGCAGCAGACGTACGTACCCTCCCCTTGCCAGCTGCCTGCAAGGACACCCATCTCATCTCCTGGGCTGTGTCAGCGTGGCCTTTATGGGATGGGATGTGTCCCACTGGGATCAGCTGGTTCAGCTGTCCATGAGCACAGTTTAAGGTGGTCCAAAGAGAGGTCCCTGCCAGATGCCTCCTGCAAAGCTGTTCTTGGAAGGGCCAACCATGTCTGCAGGCTGCTGGTGAGGAGTGTGGGATAGGAGGGGTAACTGATGCCTGCAAGGCACCCAGGGAGACTGCAAAGATGCTGCCAGGCCCCCTCCCTGCTAAGCCCTTTCTTCCCCATCCCCTGCAAGAGCTGGCTCATTTACTCACCTGTCCTTCCACCATACATCTGAAATAGAAGCTTTGCTTTCTAAGCGATTAAAAAAGCATTATTCATGCTTTTTCTCTCCTCCTTATTACAAAGACCCCCTTATATGTCTAAGGCAATAGGACTGCAGCAAGCCAGCTCTCCCCACACTGACACAGCCCTAGAAAAACAGATGGTTCCAAGATGCTGCCAGCTCCTGCCTGTGCTTGGCTCCCAGTGATTTCAGTAATTAAGCAGAAAGGGGCACCACCTTAACTAGCAGAGCCATTTCATCAGGCCTTGGGCAAGCCAGGGGCCCTGTGGGTTCTCTCACCAAGCTCAGTGGGCGGCTATGTGGCGTTGAGTAAACCCTTTGGAGAAGTGGGTTTTACAGCAGCAGTGGGTGTGATGCCGGCACGAGAACAGGAACTGTGCTTTCAACATCCATCTCAGGCTGAAAAGACTAGCCACATGCCTTCATGCACCCATTTTGCTGTGGCTGGGATGCAGCTTCCATCCTATGCTGCAAAGCATCACCTGGATGCTATTTAATCCAAGAAGGACAGTAAATTCCCAGGGACATTTGCTTCTGGGTGTCTTGGACTAGGTTAGCTACAGGTTATTTTTACCAGGTGCTTTCCACCAGCACAGTCTGGGCCAAATCTTGTGCATCTCTGCTCAGGATGCTTTCCATGCAGACATCCAGCACAGCTGAGTAACACAGCCTGCAGAATCTGCTGTGGCTGTGGCAAAAGGGGTGAGGGGATCAGTAACAGGGTGCTGCCTGGACAAACACAGGGGCAACCAAATGCTGGGGTGGCATTTTGCAGAGCCCTAGGAGGGTGTCACCGGCAGGTGGTGGGTGCATCTGGGCACGAGCAGGACCAGGCTGCAACACAGATGCTGCACTGCACTCACCTCACCCTGTGCATTGGCATAAGTACCTCCTTCCCCCTCCTTCACAGGCTGTGGTTTCAGGCCAGGAGGAGGCCAGGCTGGGGAGTGAACAAGGTGGGAGATTGCAGAAGGAGATTTGGAAGCAAAGAAGGGGCTGATGCTAAAAGAAGGGGGAAAGGGTGTGAAGGATGTAGAGAAAGGAGGAATTGGATATGGATAGGACCACCAGAAAGTTCTGCCAGTGGGTCTGGGTTTGACCCTGGATCCATGCTGCCAGCACTCACACCGTTTTGTCTTTGGCAGGTGCTCACGAGCTTGTCAGGATGGAGAGGTGAGGAAACCCACGTGCTTCCAGCTCCCCTCAACCTCCTTGCACACCCCTCTGCCTGCAGCCTGGACCTTGCAAGGGTTTTGCCCTGTCCTCTCCTCCCCTTGAAGCTGGCATGTATCCTCAGCCCACTAGGACAAAGGGGATGCTGGCGGTACCTATACCTGGAATCCTGCCCTTTTCCAGGCAGCCACTGTTCCTCTTCACTTCCTTTGAATGGGAAGTGCCTCCTTTCTTTTTGCCTGTGCCAAGGGCACACATCTTCCCACGCTCCAGAACTTGAAACCAGGGTGCCTTTCAGCTAAGCTTCCCCCTCTGCACCAGGCTTCCTGCTTGCTCTCACCTGAGGTGCCACTGCCTCAACCTACTCCCTGCCCTGCCTGTTGTTCCAGGCGCTCAGCTTTATCCCCTGGGATAAAAAAGGCTCCTGAAATAAAGACGCAAATCCTCACCTCTCACATCCTCTCCTCTCCTCTCCTCCAGCAATGCCCAGGGCATTGAGAACCCTGTCTTTGAGGCGGTCCCCTCAGCCAGCATGGAGCCACGGCCCCGACCCCAGCTCTCCTACATGGCCAGCCGGCAGCCCTCCGAGTCTGGCCGGCACCTGCTCTCCGAGCCCGGCACCCCCCTGTCTCCCCCCGGCCCTGGGGACTGCTTCTTCCCATCGCTGGGTGAGTGACAGGCAATCCTGAGCCCCCATGGAGGCCATGGCAGGAGGGGTGGGAAGAAAAGGGGCAGCCAGGGGGATGAATGGGAAAGGGGGGGGATGTTAAATATTGGCTGCAAACTTTGCATCATGTGGGACATCAGGTCCCAGGAATTTGAAGATGGGAAGGACTCAAAAGTCTGTTTTCCATGCAAAAGCAGAGTTTCGCTGCTTGCTGAAACAGATCCCCACAGCTCTCAGCTGGACTAATACCCTAGTCTGTCCTTTTCCAGATCCTGTTCCTGACTCACCAAATTCCTTGAAAGAGTAAAGACCCCGGAGGAAACCACATCCCCCAGTCGCAGCTGGGAGAGGCCCAGCAGCCACTGCACCATGCCCCCAGCCGGGACCCTGCGGAGGGCAGCATGGCCATGGGCAGCAAAGCCTTACACAGTGAAGCTGGGAGCAGGAGTCCAGACCTCACCTCCTGTCCTGGCTCTGCCCTGGGGCTGGAAGTGAACCTCTCTTGCCTGGATTTCAGTTTTTAACTACTTCTATGGAGAAGAGCATGGCTTTGTACTGCTCACGTTTTATAGACTAGCTGATAACTGGGGATGTGGGGAAGGAAGGATGACCTGCACCCACAAACCTCCACAAGGACTTAAATTATTGCCAGGGTTTAAGCTCTGCAATATGAACCTGATTCTGCATCTTTGAACATCCTCTCTGGGAGCGGATGGTAAAGTACTTTATCCACCATGAGACAAAACAAGGTCACTGGCCAACCTTGTACTACCTTTTTCTTTGCAAAACAGGAAGGGGAGAGGCTCTCTGCCGCTGATGGAACCCTCCTTCCCTACCACCCTTTTGAGATGGTTATGGACATGCAAGGCTGCAGCCTTTCCAGCTGGACACATGTAGGGAGAAGCCTTATTTCTGCTGCAATTTTATCCTCAGCTTGGGATCAGGGGAATTTATCTTTCTTTCATTATCAGTGCTGATTAAAAGAAAAAAAAAAAAGGATGTTTATGGGTTTTTTTTGTTTGTTTTTTTGTTTTTTTTTTTAAATGCTTGTAAATTAGAAAGTTTATTGGGAGGGTGTAGGAGGATGCTCCTGTGACATGGCTGAGAGCCCTTGCAGAGGTAGAGGCATAGGAGCATGCAGTGGGGAATGCTCTGGCTGGCTTCCCCTCATCCTCCTGGGGCCAGCATGGCCAAAGCACACATTCCTGGGGCCACTGCTTTCAGACACAATGAAGAACCCTGCAATGCCACATGGGATGCGGGTGCACTTCCAGCATCCTCTGCCTGAACACAGCACCCTGGCATTGCCTATCCAAAAGAATCGGTGGGTCAGGCTCCAGCATGACTCAACCCCTGGCGAGGACATAAAACTTTGTGGTAGACACTGTTACTCGAAGGGTGTGTTTCTGTGTTTGTTTTGTTTTCTGTTGCTTCTGTTGTAAAGCTGGGGGGAAACTTCCACTAGACAAACATAAACATTAGTCACATCAAAACAGTGTCAGACCTGAGCAATAGGTGTACCAGGCAGCATGCCCGGGCAGAGCATCCCAGGCAGCACACTGGATTTTCATACTACGTGGCTGCAGGAAGCAGCATTTGCCTCTGCAGGGGGAGGGGACACCCCGGCCTGCTGCAGGATTTGATTAATCCCGTGCTGGTTACAGCATGAGGAACTTCAAGAAGGTCTGGCCGCAGGCAGAGGAATAAAGAAGCCAGCACCAATGCCCCACCTTGCAGACGTAACTTTCTGAGCACAGGACTTGTGCTTTACTGCCAGCCACAGCTCAGCCCCTTTCCTGGCTTTGCTGGGGAAGCTTGCCCAGTGCCTCTGGCTCTTCCCTCTCCCTGTCCAGCAGCTGCAGCTGGAAAGGCACACAGGGGATCTGCCTGCCTGTGCGCCCTAACTGCTTTGAAACCCTCTCCAAGACATAGAATCATCACAAAATCATAGACCCATTCAGGTTGCAAAGCACCTTTAAGATCAATTCCAAACATTAACCTATCACTGCCAAGTCCACCACTAAATCATGTCCCTAAGCATATCTACACATCTTTTATATACCTGCAGGGACAGTGATTCCACCACTGCCCTTGCAGCCTGTTCCAATGCTTGACAGCCCTTTCAGTGAAGACATTGTTCCTAATATTCAATCTAAACCTCCCCTCGTGCAGCTTGAGGCTGTTGCCTCTTGTCCTATCACTTGTCACCTGGGAGAAGAGACTGACCCCCACCCCACTACAACCTCCTCTCAGGTAGCTGTAGAGAGTGATAAGGTTCCCTCCCAAGCCTCCTTTCCTCCAGACTAAACAACCCCAGTTCCCCCAGCTGCTCCCCAGAAGACTTGTGCTCCAGACCTTTCATCAGCTTTGTTGCCATTTTCTGGACCCACTCCAGCACCTCAGTGTCTTTCTTCTAGAGAAGGGCCCAAAACTGAACACAGTATTTGAGGTATGGCCTCACAGTGTCAGGTACAGGGGAACAATCACTTCCCTAGTCCATTTGCTAATGAATGCACTGTTTGATGACAGAAAAAAGCTTTGCTGGAAACAGGTTTCTCCCTGTGTTGCAGGGGTCGTGCTTTGGTATGCCCTATGCTGCAGGCAGCTGTGGTGGGCAGGCAGAGGTGAGATGAGCAGCCATGTTCTCTGACAAGAGGCATCGATGCAGCAGATCAGGGCACTAGGTGGCATGAGGGACCATTTCCTACCTGGTCAGTTTGTCAGAAGGAAAACTAGACTTTTACGGGAGAGAGGCAATGGCCCTGCAGGCATTCAGCAGGAGCCTTGGCACACTGGGTCCTGGCACTCCACCTTGGCCCCAACAGTGGTGGAGAAGATGGCATGGTGCTGTACCTTTGAGGAGGATGCTCATGGTTAAGGTGACCCACCAAGATGCCCTTAAGGACCTTGATGGGTACCCCAGCTCTTGCGAGTGCCTGGCTTGGGAACACACACCGAGCTAGTGCTGTGCTGCTGGCTGTTTTCCACTGCATCAGCACCTGGGACTTTGCTCATGAGGAGAGTGAGGAGCCGCAGTGCTTCACCTGAACTCTTGTTTTGGAGTGGGTTGACGGGAACAGAAACTGCAGAGGCTGAAGCAGCCCTGGATCAGGGTGGCTGTGAGATAGGCATCTGAGCAGCTTTATGGATCCACCCTGACTCAGGGCACTACCAGTGCCTGGGGTCTGTGGATATCAGGAGGAGTTCAGCTCCAGCACATGTGGTTGATGCAGCTCCCTTGGCCAGGCATCCTTCTGCTGCCAGAAGCATCCTGAAGACTCTGGAGCAGGGCCAGCCCTTGGGGAGGTGCAGCTGCAGGTTTGCACCAGTGTCAAACAGAGCTTGAGTGACTCCTGCAATTTCCATGTAATGACACCAGGACCTTCCAGTTGCAGCTCACCAGCTTATGAAGGATTTCTTTCCTGCAGTGCTTGTTGGGGTAAATGCTTTCCTTTTATCATCAGCATTTTTAGCCTTTCTCCCCTGCATTTCTAGACTGGCCAAGAGGATGGCCAGTCTTCCATGCACCCTTGCTGTCCTGGATATCAGAGATCATCCCAGGACTTCCAAGTGCTCTTCCAGCTCTGTCTCCTCTGCCTCTCCCATACTCAGAAGGCCGTGAAGTACACGTATAAATTATAGACAATAATCTCCTTTTTGTGCATCATTGCATCAGCCCAGACTTGTGAAACCGAAGTAGACGACAAACTCCTGACAGACATAATTTCATGATCCAGGCATGAGGCCAGCAGTCCCCAAGTGACGTGCAGGACAGCCTTTCACAAGACCTAAGTATCCTCAAGCTCTGAAATAGGCTGAAACTTCTTTCCACTCAGGAATCAGGTCACTGGACACTTTGTTTTGCTTCAGCGTGGCAGGATTTTTATTGTTGCTGCTGGCGTAACTTTCACCGGTGATATGGTGGTCATGCAGCAGAAACCCTGAGGACAAGCGAGGCTGCTGGGACACTGCTTTGCACCAGTGTGAATTGATAAGCTGTGTCACTTGACCTCTCTGGCACCAGGAAGGGAAGACGGCATTGCCATAGCAATGGGATTTGCCAGTTTAGCACACGGCATTCCTCACAACAGCAACATCACCAATGTTCCTATGGTGCTGGGGCGATGGGGACAAGGAGGAGCTAGCAGTTATCGGGTGCTGCAGTTACACAAAGCTGCCTTCCCTCATTCTGGGGGAAGAGACTGACTAGATTTAAGCCACAGTGGCAGCCTGGCTTAAGAAAAAGATGGTGATGCGCAAGAAAGTGTGTGAACTACCCGGGAGGGAGCAGTCGAGAGTGCAAAGCCTAAAGTGAGAATTGCAAGCCCCAGTTCACACTGCTGTTTGCAACCAGTTTCCTCAAAATGTACAGCAGGGCTTTGCAGCAAGAGCTCTGCTGGGAGATCAGAGAGATTGCAAGAGATAGCAGGTAGGGGCTGGGGAGAGGAAGGATGGCAGGGTGTCATGCAGGGTGTCACGCCTCCCCATCTCACAATTTGGGCTTGCTTTCTACACACAGTTGCTCGCTCACATCCCCGCAGAGCTGTGGGATTAGGAGGGACTCAGGGCTGGAAAATGCCTCAAATATTATTTGCCCATTTGACCCTCCCTGGCCAGAGTCCTCTTTAGAGGCCCAAATAATGAAACTTGTTACCTGTGGAGCAGGGAATGCACGAGTGAGAAAAGCCAGGCTGCAGCAAACTGAGTTTCCGGGCACTACTGCAGGCTGGTAACCACAAAGCAAGGTGGCCACATCCCCAGAACAAAGTATGATGGACAGGATGTCATATCAGGCCCCACATGCAAGCTCAAATCCTGCTCACCATAGGCAGGGCACTCCAGGTGGCAGCAACATGACCAACAAGCTGCCCAAGCCTCACAACAGCTATAGCAGTAATTACTGGAGCTCTTCTCATTTGCCAGCACTAGAGCAGACACATGGTGAGCTGAACCGTGGTTCAGATGCTGATCCAGTGACCCCCTGCCCTGAGATGGGTGAGCAACATCCAGAGACCTTTCAGACTCTGAGTATGAGAAACTGGTGGGCAGGACAAATCCTGCAGCCGCCAGCACACTTGCCCATTAGGATGCTCATGATATTTTTGGCATTTACAGATGGGAGACAGCAGCTCCCCAAGCGACTGCAAGCAATGGTCCTGCAGGACCAGGTGCTAAAGAAGGCCCTGAACCAAACCTATACTCAGCAGATTTGGACCCTAAGTCACAACCCAAATGGCCAGATCACCAAAACATCGCACCCTGTGCCTGTTCCACCTTTCCACACTCAGTATCTAAGCTCACTGTCCACAGTGCTGCCCAGCTCCATCCCCTTGGAAAGCACATTTTGGTGGCTCACCGACAGGGAGGGGTTGCCCTCATCCTCAACGGTGACCACCAGGCTGTAGAAGCTCTGCCGCTCACGGTCTGGTGGGGAGGGCCGGGTGGCAATCTCGCCGGTGACACGGTCCATGCGGAAAGTCAGGTCCTCATTCCCGCGGGTGATGTAGTAGGAGAGGACACTGTTGAGGCCAATGTCCCGATCGGTGGCACGTACCTGGGCCACTGCTGTGCCACCACCAACATTCTGCAGGGTGAAATGGCAGGGTGAGTGTCAGAGATACACGACATAGATCACACGCACCTCATAACATAGAAAATACACAAATAATAACATAATTCTAATATAAAGAGAGTTTTTCCCAGGCATTGCTGTGCTTGAGGTTCCAAACTTGCTGTCCCAACACCCAGCAGCCAAACAGAAGGCTGCTTTCCTTCACAAGCTCCTGGATGCCATTTTTTTGGTGCTTATTGCAAACGATGTTTCATTCAGCCCTCTTCCTGTAATTTATATATGGCTTGTACTAGAAATGTTTTTGTTTGTTTTCCAGGTTAGTTCTTTCTCCAGTTGTTGTGGGTTTTGACTGCATTACATTTAAGATGAAATAACTCTCGTGATTGTATGACTATA